GGCCAAAGTTTAAAGGGGTAACGGTACATAACACAAATATGTTTAAACATAAAGGCTAATGATTAATTTAAATGTGCTTATAAGCAAAATAAATAAGTAGAAAATAAACATTGGTATACAAGCAATTCTATGAATGCTATCATACAGGTACTTATTAAAGTTTACTATTAGCTACCAAGTTTAGTTTAACTAACCTTGGTAGCTCAACAACCTCACAGTTTTCTTGACTTAGAGCTCTGTGTTATAGGAACTAGAAGTCAGTCTAACATAAAACTCTTCAGAGATGTCTAGACCCCAAGCATGCTTGGTACTATTTTTATAGTCCCACTGAGTGAGAGGCTAAATCAACCTTGACCACACTGTTTATTAAAAATTATAAACAGTTTTTTTCTCCTCATATATTTCTTATTTTGTGATAAATTTTTTTTAGTTTATCATGCGTCAATTTGACTCAAAAATCTTTTAAGGCAGAAATTTTCTCCCAAACACAAATAAATTATTAACTTTTTCAATGTCTTTTTCTTAAAAAATCAATTCAGAAAAAAAAGTAAAAAACACAATATCATTGATTACAAACATGTTATATTTTGTTTAAAATAAGCATTTTTTAAAATATTGCAGATTGAGAAAAGTTTGATTATAAGATAGTCAAGATAAAATATATCATACTTACTTATCTATTAGATGTCTTGCAGTATTTAATTGACCTAAGGCTAATTTGTAATGATCTTTATCATATAAAACATTCATCAAATCAGCAAAGAATGGATGGATTTCCTAAAATGTTAATAAAATAGAAAATGAAAGAAATAATTGTGGTTAATCATTTCTTAATTACTTATTATAAGCTGTTAAAAGAAATTTTACCTAATGTGTTCGACATTTAAAAATTAGATTTTAAAATATATATATTCCATGCTGCCTACATAATATAAAAATCCTTTTTAAAACACAAGTACTTAGGGATTTTTTCAATAAATCAATAAAATACTATATATTGAGTATTTTTATAAGATAAGACTCATAATATTGATTAATATATAAATCAGTTCAGCTCCATCTTATGTATAAAATACAATTTTCTTTGTAAATACTAATATAAAACTACTGTAATATGTTTACATAAGGTACTTAAGGTCTTAGGTGTATTTATAAGAAATATATCACATCTCTTGGGATGCATTTGTTGAAAGTAATAAGCAACTATCATGCATACAATTTTATTACATTCCATAATTATTGATTCACCAGTTTTCATCCCAAAATATTCCTGCTGCTTTTATATAATGTAGTTAAATCAGCTCAATTTATCAAATTTATCAAAAAGAAAAATATTGACTAAAAAAGTATAAAAATTAACATGTTAGACCAAATGAATGTTAATAAAACTTAGCAATTCAACTGATCTATTTATATAGCACAGATGTGCAAATTTAACAGCCATGAAAGCTGAAAAATAGAATATTCTGTGCCCCACAATTTAAAGACTTTAAATATAGTTAAGAAAATTCTATGATCAATAAACTAGTGAAAAAGCAAAATAACCTCTAATTTTGGGAAATCAGTCAAAATTTGGGTTATTTTATCCTAAAAATTTTCAGGGGTCTGTCTAGGTTATTCTGAGAGGTACCTATTTTGTGAAAATTTAGACATAATTTGTGAAAAATTAAAATTATATTAAAAAATCAACACAAAAATATGGTCAAAATATGGACTTATCTCTTCCTAAAGGATACAAAAATAAATTTTAAGAAAAAGTATTTTGTGAAACTACCGTTTCTCCTTAAGTTGAATTTGTGAAGGTACAGCTAAACAGAAGTAAATTCAGCCTGGACAGACCCCTGATTTTGCTTTAATTTTAAAATTATAATGTGCCATGATTTCGCATATAAAAACACAATGTCTTACAAGAACTAAAAAAGTATAAAAATTAAAATGTTAGACCAAATGAATGCTAATGAAACTTAGCGATTCAAATGATCTATTTATATAGCACAGATGTGCAAATTTAGCAGCCATGAAAGCTGAAAAATAGAATATTCAGTGCCCCACAAATTAAAGACTTAAAATATCGTTAAAAAATTTATGGTCAATAAATAAGTGAAAAGTAAAATTACCTCTAATTGTGAGAAATCAATCAAAATTTGGGTTATTTTATCATGAAAATTTTGCTTTAATTTTTAAATTATGTGCCATGATTTCGCAAATAAAGACACAATGACTTACAAGAACTAAAAAAGTATAAAAATTAAAATGTTAGATCAAATGAATGCTAATGAAACTTAGCGATTCAAATGATCTATTTATATAGCACAGATGTGCAAATTTAACAGCCATGAAAGCTGAAAAATAGAATATTCAGTGCCCCACAAATTAAAGATTTAAAATATCGTTAAAAAAAATTTATGATCAATAAATAAGTGAAAAGTAAAATTACCTCTAATTTCGGGAAATCGGTCAAAATTTGGGTTATTTTATCATGAAAATTTTGCTGAGTAAATTTAACCTTTCTCAGATAAAACTGACGAATTCTAGTTATCTTATATTGCTTGTGGACGACAGTAGGAGTTTTTCTTTGTGTTTTTGACAAAATTATATCAGTGAATTCCTGAAAAAAAGAGAGACAGAAAATAGTAAGCACAAAGATATTAAAACTTTTAAAAATCCGTGTAAAATAAAAGAATTAATCATACCTTTGCATTTGGAACACACACAATATTTTTAAAATTATAATGTGCCATGATTAAACTTAAATTAAATAATTATTAGAAAATATTATTTATGATTTTTGAAATTCCATCGCTTATCCACAAAAAACGTGGTAAATCGAAGCACGAAAAGAACAAGCTAAGTTTAGTTGTAAAAGAAAGCTCCGGCGAAACTGAATTTTACAGTTAGGAATGCAGGAGTGCCCATTTATCTGTTTCCGATTGCTATCTATGGGACCGCTCATTCTACGTCTTGATTGGATAGCTACATTTCGGAATATTTCTGATTGGAGATATTATATCCACATGCATTTAGAAATTATTAGCGCGACGGTTTCAAAAAGTTTTAATTCGAATGAATTTTTACAATCTTATTGAATAAGAGGACTTCGTTATATTTAACTTCATTTGTAAATAACTAAATAAATTTTGGTGTGACAATTTTTAGATATAACGTTACTAAATAAAAGATACGCCTTTTTAAAAAATCAAATAAAACTACTTTTTATAAAACTTAAAAAAAATTGAAGGCGATTGAAATTCATGGCTATTGATTCAGAAATGTAGTGGTTTTATCCAAACCGTTGTTCCATGAAGACAGTAATCTCAAATTTTTCACTTAAAATATAATTCAAATTACTGTATACATATGTATATTAACTGATAATTAATATCTATCATACCTCTAATGTTGTATAAATAGAAGAATGGAAGGCACAAAGTAATTATAATAGATTCTCCTCCTCGTCTACTTCTTCTTCTTGCTCATTTCCTTATTTCTTCTTTTTTTTAATGCCTTATAAACCAAAAAATGTAGTTAAAAACAATTGACTTCAGCTTTAGCGAATTTTTTTTTTAATTTATTTTTTTATGATGGCTTTGAATTGTCATACAAGTTCTTCTGCTTCTGTTGATATTCTGCTGAAGAAGAAGTTGAACAACCTAACGCAATTCTAAAAACAAAATTTGAAGGTGATCGATGAGTAAATAAATTTGCTAATGCAGAGCTGCTTCAGGATGCGTAATTTGCTCTTGAAATCATGTGATATTTAAGTGCGATGAGCTGAATACACAAAAGACTTTTGTAAAAAATTAAGGAAAAAGACAAATTGATAATACTGTCAACTCGTCTAATTTTAATAAACGTATATATCTAGCCGCGATGGCTCAGAGGATAGAGCGTTCGCCTTCCAATGAGGTGAACCGGGTTCGAATCCCAGCGATGGCTGGTCGGTACGAATTCCGCATCCGGTTTGCACCGACCACAGTGCTGATGTAAAATATCCTCAGGGGTAGACGGTAGACCGATCATTGTTAGAGTCCCTTTGCCGTCAGGCTAACCATGGAAGATTCTCGTGTTCTTCCTCTCCATGTAACCCAAATGCGGGCTAGTTCCATCAGAAAGCCCTCCATGCAGGGCCGGATTAACCTATAGGCACACTAGGCACGTGCCTAGGGCCTACGAAATTCAGGGGCCTACGAAAAACTTGGGAGAAAAAAATTTGTTGACAAAAAAATAATTTAGCTTTAAAAACAACAAGTGTATTTTGCACAAAATTATAAAGATACAAATAAAAATATAATATTTTTCGGTAATAAATTATTTTGCAGAATCTTATGATCTAATATATTACTTTTTTGCGATTTTTGGATTCAACGAAATCTTGTATTATGCTGTCGAATTCCAAACTACGCAAAATGTCGTATTCAATAGACATAAGTGCGAGCGATGCCAAACGATCTTGATTCATTGTTGAACGCAAATAATTTTTTATCAATTTTAATCTGGAGAAAGATCTTTCTCCTTCTGCATTTGATCCAAGAATCGACAAATATATTCTTAATGCAATGTGAACGTTAGGAAAAGTATTCACAAGTTTATCTTTAATTTGAGCCTTCAACATTTCTTGTGCAGATTTATGTTCATACAAATTTGAAAATAGTAAAAATTCATCTACAAAGTTTTCCTCTAAATCGGATGAGTAAATTTTCACCAAATTTTGCGCTTTTAGTTTAATCTCAGATTCTGACAAATTTTTGTGTAATTTCCTTGTAATTCGGGTTCGATAAAACATCGATTAATGACACTTTTTGGTCGATCCAGAAAACTGGGAAATTCAGACATCCGGGATAGCGATGGTCCCGAGCATCCCAGATAATTGGTTCTCTACTGTATAAATATTTCTTGTAATTAATCTCACTATCAATTTCACTGTTTTCTTTGCTGGTTTGTTGTTGTATTGTTGACGTGAAGTGTTTACATAGTTATCGATCGAACTAATCATAATGGTATTATCGATATCAACTGCAATATCGGCAGTATGTCGGTATTGCAGATAAAGTTCAATAAACTAATTCGTAAATTAAAATCCATATTAATAAAAATGTTAAAAAAAAATATGCAAGAAAATTTTAGCATATAATTTGAAAAGAGGGGAGGAGTGGGGGAAGGAGGGGAGGGCCCAAAAACGGCTATGCTAGGGCCTACGAAAGGTATAATTCGGCTATGTGCCTAGGGCCTACGAAAGGTATAATCCGGCTCTGCCTCCATGAAGGTAAATGTCTCCCAATATTTGATCCAGGAGTTCCCTTGTCTTCCGGATCGGGTTCAAAATTACAAGGCTACAAAGTTGGACTACAAAGTCGTAAACCCAAATTTGGGTCGGCTGTTCAACGACGGTTATATATATAAACGTAAATATATCTTGAGATATCTAATTTGTGGCGATTAGTCTCTATTGGAATTAGTGATCCTATTAAAAAGAAATTCCAAAGAGAAATTAACTTCCAAACAAAGGAACATTTTTTAGAGACCGGGGAAATTAGTTGTGTTACTGTAGTAGGTGGTGCGAAGATTGTTTACCATGAACTGATGACATGAACTGTTACCCGATAATTTACACTTAGTTAGCTCAGAGATGATTGTAATACACTACTTTACTTTGAAACTTAAAACTATGAATTTGTAGCAGAAATAAGAAGATATTTTTACCTTGCGCTGAAGATAAATAAATTTCACTATTACCTGATAAATCACTATTACACTTAGCCCAGAGACGGTTGGAACACACCACTTCGAAATTCAGGAATATGAATTTGTATCAGAATACAAAGATATTTTTACAAATTGGCTCAAAGAGGGTATAATAGAAGTTCCACTAACTGAAATATACTTAAAAGAATTTTATGCGTCATCGACCTGTTCTAAAACCGAACAATGCTATGCTGATGCGACGGCACGCATGCCAAATCCTTCATCTCTGAACGTATATTTTTAATGATGATCTAATTTGATTGAGTTATTGTTTGACTTCCTGTAACGATTTAGCGATGGAAAATTTGCAGTTATAGGAGATAAGTATTAGAAGAGCCTTCTGTCAAATAAGCATTCGCGATAAAGACATAGAATTTCTTTGTTTTTTTTTATGGTGGGAGAATTAGAAACTAAGTAAATTCAAGTATTTTTGACTTACAAGAGTAGTTTTTGGTGTAATATGCAGACCTTTTCTGTTAGCTTCGTTGATTGATTACAACATTCATTAGAAACAGTGAGGAATATGACGTTAAATTTAGGAAAAAGTTAGCTTGGCTCAAAGTTTTTACGTTGAAAATATTGTTACTAATATTGATAATAAAGAGGAACAAGGAAAAAATTATGCAGGAATCAACAACTCTTTGCCCAAAAAGCGATTTGAATTTAAAGAGTGCATAAATTCTCGTCAGTACAGAAGTAAAGAGAAAGTAGAAGTAACCGTTTTAGGATTGGTGTGCAACAATGAATGAAACACGTTAAAAATTGAGCTGGGTGAGTGATGTAAATACTGAAAAAGTGACTAAACTTAGCATGTTATCTATAATTCATAAAATATTTGATCTTTTCGGTTTTGCCTCTCCAGTCATGCTTTGTGCGAAAATAATGCTATAGAAACATGGAAAAGGGAATAATCTTGGATGAAGATATCGTTTGCTAGTCACGAAAATAATTTTTAGAATGGTTTTACTTCTAAGGACAGAACTGGCTACCAAGATTAGAGTTTCTTTGTTGACATGAGCCACGATACTCAGAATTAAACTTTAAGCTGCTGTTATTGGAACTATATTGACGAATTTTATTATATAAGATCAAAGGAGAATATTAGGAGAGATTATAGGAGCGATTCGACTACTATTGGCGTGTAAGACACTAAGTAGTTGGTATTTTTTCCTCTTTTTTTATAACCGTCGTTGAACAGCCGACCCAATTTTATGGGTTTACGACTACTTGGGATCAATTCCGTAGCCTTGCAATTTTGAACCCAGTCCAGAAGACAAGGGAACTCCTGGATCAAGTATTGGGAGAAATTCGCCTTCGTGGAGGACTTTCTGATGGAGGTAACTCTCCAAACGGAGGGAAGGTATCAGTGCCGTAACTTCACCCCTCGGGGCACTGTGGCAAAAATATTTGACCCGGGCAGTTTCAAAAGCTTTCTCTACTCCATCTCTAACTGTCAGTTTAGCTATTTATGTATCATGTTAGCGAATGTATTTATTAAAACAAGTTATTTGTTCACATATAAATTGGATTACTAAATATTGTAAGTTACAAAAATGGGAAAATACAAAATTTGAGCGAAATCGGTTAATCCTGATAAGTTAAATTTTAAAAAACTGGTATACGAAACTTGATTTCTCAGGAACTATTTAACCAATTTCTCTCAAAATTTGTATTTTTCCGTGTGGAATCAGATTCTTTAAGATGATACAAAAAAAAAAAACTTTATACCTTACAATTTAAAATTTTTAGACTGTTATAAAATAAAAATAAAAAAGTACTAGCTATGAGTTATTTTTTGCATGGAATTATTGTTGGATAAGAGAATTTTATAATTGTGTGCAGAAAGCCTTCGAGCTATTGCGAAATTTGAAAAGATAAAATTAACATTTGGGGGGGGGGTTTAAACTTTGGATCGCTCACCAGACTGAACTGTTGGAACCATATTTCCCTGATTACGACTTCCCCTCTATATTACGAAGGTTAGAAAACCGAGTCCGTTTAACAAAAGTTGTGTTTATTCAAGGAAAGTTTGTTTTTGGGTCTGATTAGTAACTTAAAATAAAGTATCGTCTGTACCAATTAATTAGCATATTTGAGGTCACACCCTCGAACTATTAAGATGGAGTCCTAGAACGTGAAAATCCGATGATTAAATCAAAAGTTTTTAGTCAGGGTGGTCCTTTTTTTGCGCTCACTGTATGTTAATTTTACCAATTTACGACATAGCACAGAGGAAATTTGACTAGGAAAAAAAAGCTATTTATGTTGTCTACTCTTGTCCCCCATGTTCATAGTAGCCCCTTTTCCTCTAAATCATAAAATCGTAATGCTAATCATAAAATACCAATTCTATAAACTTCCTGCATCTTTGTTACTATATCGTTAGGAAGGTCTTTTCGAGATAAACCATTATAAAAAGGAATTTTTGTTTATTAGTTTCAAATCTAAAAATTTCAATTCGCGTTACGGAAATTGAAGGAAATTATGTATAGACTTTTATTTTATCGGCATATGCACATATATCCCCATTTTAAAAAGTCACGATTGAAGAAATATCCAGAAATTTTTTCTGTATATATATCGATTAAAAAAATAAAGTTGCCTTGGACAATGCCCTAAGAATATAGCTATATTTGAAAAGAATTCATTCTTGAAAATGTGGCCGATTGAAACTTCTGATCATGCAGAATGGCAATTAAATATATGGATTCATGACGCCATGTTATCATATATGACAAAATCATAACGCAGAATAATAGTTTCTTTTTTAATATTCCAAAACGAAAAATGAGAAAAAGTCAAACCATTTTTGCTAATTGAAAAAATTTTTTTTTTTTTAATGGTTTGTCATGACTATGAATTTTAATTGCTATGAATTTCTAACCTGAAAAATGCAATAACTTGAACTAAAAATTTCAATGATATCTTTAACATTGGTTACAGAAAGATCATCTTAAAAAAAAAAAGAAAAAAAAGAAGAAAAAAGTGGTAAGATTATAAAAAAAGGAAGAAAAAGTGGAAACTTAAATAAAATTAAAGCAATCTAATGTGAAGTGTGTTTCTAATTTTGTTCGGCTTTAAGTTATCGCGCTTTAAATCGAAATGGTCATGTAAGAAAACTGAAAACAAAGGTATTTAATTGGTATACAGAAATGTTCACATTTTGAAGAAATGTTAATTTATAATTCTGATGATCGAATAAATTCTTTTCCTCCAACAAATGCATATTTTAAACTCAGAAAAATAATGCATATAAAGAGTTCTCAAAAAGTTAATTAGCACAAATAATTGCTTTGATTTTCCTATATGATTTTGATTAAAAAAACTAGATAAATTGCTCTCAACACTACCCCCCAACCAAATGTTAAGGAAACAGAAAACCCCCATCAAAAGTTGATTTAAATTTGACAATACTTTAAATTAATGATACTAACAAAAATATTGTTTTTAAATGCATGCAATCCGAAAATCTCTATTTTGAAGATGTTCAGAGGTAAGTCACCTCCGCTAATCAGTGATTGAAGCGAAAATTCTGCTGAATTTCAGACTGTCATTACTAGTAGCGCCACTAAGGAAGCTAAAGCAAAGGTCTGCTTATTTCCGGAATTATCTTGCTTCTTTTGAATAATATGTTTTTGATCCGCTAGATGTCACTCTTGCATCTTTGATTCTTTCATCTCGGAACTCCCGCTCTGCTCATTCATGTCTCCTTCTAAAAGAACAGCTGGAGGCCGATTATAAAAAATAGACAGGTGATAGGTTAAAGTTGCCCCCTCCCTGTTTGGGAATGTACGAATTTTATTGTTGAATTATTAATTCAAACATTAGTTAGTGTTTTAACTTATAGATAAAACAGTTTTGTTCTTTACATATCAGATTTCGAAGTTTTAATTCTTTGATTTTCTTCAATCATCAGGTATTTGGTATCATTGATCATTTCCAATTTTTAATTTCTTTATCTAATGTGCTTTTTCTTTTTTGTTAATATCTGTATTCAGAAATGTATAAAATTTGTTTTGTTGCCATAATGCTGTAATTTCCTGGTAATAGATCTAATTGTTTAATTTATAATATAATTACAATTTATTACAATTACTCTATATTCTTTTCTTGACTTGAATTTTGTAAAATTCAACTATTTAAGCTATAACACTGCCTATTGTAAAATTCTGCCTTCTTTCCATATTCAAATTTAATACTGTTATTATTCAATTTAATTCCTAGAATACTAGGGCATAAAATATTATTGTATTCTAAGAACTAATTTTTCTTTCTTTGTTGCAAGAAATAGCCCTAATATATTTATATCAATAAGTTTTTATGATACGCTATACTATTCATACTGTTAAAATCATAAAATGTTTTGCATAAACAAAATACCAATATTATCTGGTCTGTGTCAAATTGTTTTTCTGTTCATATAAATATTAACAACTATAAAACTTATGTAAACATGTTCTTTGCATTAACAATTATAAAACATAAGCAATTTAAAAGTGAAAATTTTGCTGAAAATAACTTAGACTGTATTACATTAATCAAAATATAACTTTACAAAAATCTAAGTATTTTTTTAATTGGGAATATTTTTAGACTTTCCTTTAAGTAACATACTTACTCTGAATATCATTTTTATGATTGAAATATAAAGGGTTTATGTCAAAAGAATTTTCTAACTTGTTTATTTAGAAATTAAAATCTCCCAAAAAGAAAAAGATTGGTAAGAAAGTTAAGATTGGCTGGAAAAATCTATAGATATGTATATATATTTTTAAATTTCTGTATGAATGTGTTTAAATATATTTGTTAGAAATATATAAATTATAAAACATGTTATTTTTTGTTACATAATTAATAAGTAAATTTACCTAAAAATGAGTTAAATTAAATTTTTTCCAGTTTTAAATCATAAGTAATACAAGAAATATTAATAGTAAACAGTTAATTCAAAACTGATAATATTGGTGAATTGTAGTATAAATTATAAAATAAATACTTATTTTAAACTCATTGTGCATGGAGGGAACTCATATTATGTTTAAGCCGATATATAATTAAGGTTTGAACTCTGAGAAATCAAAATTTGATTACAATTCTGTATGAATATTTAAATTGCATTCCCTATTGTTATTTTTTTTATAACCTAAAAGTTAGACTCTTTAATAATATTTTCTTTTTTGTTTGATTACTGTTTGTAAATATTTAATTTCTATTTCAGGTTTATGTTTACCACAAACATTCATAATGCCAAGTCATCTTGTAGTTAAAAACCATTTGGCACCTATAGCAAATTCAAATGTGGCTAGACATGACAGTGCTGCTTTTTCTAATGATGCCAGTCTAGCCTGTAATAGAACAAACGCACCATCAAATAATACCATGGTACAACCAGGAAATACAACTAGTGCTTTAATAAATAATTCACTACAGCAACGGAATTCTGCTTCTGCTAGTGTAAGTTCTTTTAGTATATTTCAACATAGCAGTAAGAACTTTGATGATGTTACTTTTATTGGAAATGGGGCTTATGGTACTGTTTACAAAGCCAGAGATCTTGCAAATAATGGTCAGTTTGTTGCATTGAAAAAAGTGAAAATTCCTATTGGAGAAGATGGTGTTCCTGTTAGCACTGTTCGGGAAATATCTTTGTTGAAGCAGCTGACATTTCTTGACCATCCAAATGTAGTAAAGTAAGTGTTTTCTGGTATAATTTTTTATTTAAGTTACAGGTTATTAAGAATTTTTTTTTTAAAAGTAAGTTTCTTGGAAAATCATTTTTAAAATTTAATTCCTTGCTCAAATGTCCTTTGTATGAGCTTTTATTTTCATACCATTTGCTTTTTAAAAAAATTTTACTTTGTATTTAATTTTTATGTAACAGAACTAAGATTTCATAGAAAAATGATAAAAACATTTTTACTGTTGCGTTAAAGTGTTAAGCCACAATCAATTACAAATCTATCATCAAAAATAAGGGTGAAAATCATGATACCCCATTCATCTTTCTAAAAAATTCTTACAATTTTTTCTAGTCATAGAGGGATACTTATTAAACAAAAGATAGAATGACAATTCTCTCTTTTGTTTAATAAGTATCTTGTTATCTTATTGTATCCTGTTTAATAAGTATAAGTATTTTGTTTAATAAGTATAAAATTTAAAAAGTTTTACTTTGTATTTAATTTTTATGTAACATAACTATTAAGATTTCATAGCAAAATGATAAAAACATTTTCACTGTTGTGCTAAAGCGTTTAGCCACAATCAATTACAAATCTATCATTAAAAATAAGGGGGAAAATCATGACACCACATTCATCTTTCTAAAAAATTCTTGTAATTTTTTCTAGTCATGGAGAGTAACTTATTAAACAAAAGATAGAATGACAATTCTGGGTTCTAAACAAAATATGAAACCAGCAAGAAAAAATATAAAATTTTTACTTTTTATACCTCTTAGAAAGTTTGTTATTAAGTGGAATTTTAATATTTATTTTCAACTGAAATGAATCCTCATGTTTGCAAACTTATATTCATATTGAAACACAAACTTGTTAACCAAGTGCTAATTTTCTTCTTTTTCTTCTAATTTTAGCTTTTTTGTTAACGAACTTTTGGAATCTACTTAAACCCTGTCGTGTAGTAAATAAAAACTATAAACTTCAATTGTGAGATCAAATGCAATTATGTAAAAACAATCACTTTGTATGCATCGCATTTAGAATTTTTTTTTTTCAAAGTAATTTTTAAGCCCATGATAAAAATAGGCATTAAGGCGTACATTAACACATTATCTGCAAAAATTGTGATTCTATCGAAAACTTTTGTGCATTGTCAACAGAATCATTTTTTAAAATGTGATATTTTTCTTTCTAATTAAAAAAGGAAACAAACAAACTAGAACTTAAATTTAATCTTAAGATTATGCTAAATTTTATTTAAAATAACAATTATAAAAATTGCATTTATCAGCAATGTGTAGGTTAAATATTGTTATAAAATGTTTTGTTATATACTTTTAATTTGGATTGTTTATCCCTCCAGTGTTTTCATTACAGCGCGAGAACGCGAGAATCTCGCATATTTTTTTCTTTTCTCGCATTAAAAAATTATTACTGCGAGAAATTCGCGCATTCTATAAATCAATTTCAAAATTCGCGAATTTCTCGCATTTTGGAAGAAGCATCGAATTACGCCATTTAGAATAAAATCCGTTTCACTTTTCTTCCTGGATCTTTCATTATTTTCAACATTTGCTCCGTTATCTAGCTTCCCTATTTACCAATATTGCTCAGAACCTTTTCGAACAACAGAACACAACTGAACCCCTTTCATTACACATTTCTCTGCAACCACGTGTTTACCGTAGGTAAGGTTTTTTCATGTAAGACGTTCAAATTTTTTATGCACTAATGTAAGATGGACAAATACCTAGTAAAGGCAAAAGCTTCTATGATAATGCAGCAAGAATATTCAATGCTTTAAAAAATAGAAGACGTTAAAAATGTATTGTAATAAAAAAAATGATTTTTTATTTCAAGTCTATTCGTGTTTTTTTAGTTTTCAGAAATCTCACTTAACTTTCTGAAATCTCACCCTGTTTTTGAGAAAGGGTGAGAAATTCTCACCCATTTTTTTTCTATGATGAAAACACTGNCTGACATTTCTTGACCATCCAAATGTAGTAAAGTAAGTGTTTTCTGGTATAATTTTTTATTTAAGTTACAGGTTATTAAGAATTTTTTTTTTAAAAGTAAGTTTCTTGGAAAATCATTTTTAAAATTTAATTCCTTGCTCAAATGTCCTTTGTATGAGCTTTTATTTTCATACCATTTGCTTTTTAAAAAAATTTTACTTTGTATTTAATTTTTATGTAACAGAACTAAGATTTCATAGAAAAATGATAAAAACATTTTCACTGTTGCTCTAAAGCGTTAAGCCACAATCAATTACGAATCTATCATTAAAAATGAGGGTGAAAATCACTATCATCTTTCTAAAAAATTCTTACAATTTCTTCTAGTCACGGAGAGATACTTATTAAGCAAAAGATGGAACAATTAAGTGATCTAAATAAAATATGAACCAGCAAGAAAAAATATAACATTTTGAGTTCTATACCTCTTGGAAATTTTATTATTAAGTAGAATTTTAATATTTCTTTTCAGCTCTGAAATGAATCCTCATATTTGCAAATTTATATTCATATTGAAGCACAAACTTATTAACCAGGTGTTATTTAAATTTTCTTAAATTTTTTCTTTTTCTTCTAATTTTAGCTCTTTTGTTAATGAACTTTTGAAATCTACTTAAACCCTGTTGTGCAGAAAATAACTATAAACTTCAATTGTGAGATCAAACTCAATTATTTACAAACAATCACTTTGTAACACATCACATTTGGAAACAAATTTTTTTCAAAGTAATTTTTAAGCCCGTGATAAAAATAAGCATAAAGCTTTCCGTTAACACATTATCTGCAAAAATTGTGATTCTGTCGAAAAGTTTTGTACATTGTCAACAGAATCATTTTCTAAAATGTGATATTTTTCTTGCTAATTAAAAAAGAAAACAAACTAGAACTTAAATTTAAACTTAAGATTATGCTAAATTTTATTAAAAATAACCATTATAAAAATTGCATTTATCAGCAATGTGTAGATTAAATATTGTAATAAGATTTTTTTGTTATAGCCATGTTTATATACTATTAATTGGGATTGTTAATCTTCGACTTAAAGACCCATAAACTTTTACTGCAGAAAGGCAAATTACTAAAGATTTTTCTGTATTTATACATTTTGAATGAATTAAAAAAAAGAAAAAGAGTCAAATTTTTTTATAAGTTTTTAATAATGGATGTATTTATAGATTTCGATTATTAATCCTTTTATGATCAAGTATCATGAAGATTATTTTATTATGAGGGAAAATGTAACTGTCGTACAAATGCACACTGAATATTAATTAAATGTTTCATTATTCATAAATCTGAGAAGAAATATCTGTGCAAGGTATGTAAAAGCATTTGTCATGGTTTACATTCCGGGAATTATTCTAAAATCCCAGGTTCTTTGTCTGTATCCTTTTGAATAGGATAAGATAATTTCATATATAATGATGAAATTAAAAAAAAAAGAAAATATATGTTTTATGTGAAGTATTCAGTAGAAAATATTATAGTTGATTATAGGCATAAATCATAGATTACATCAATCCTTAATGACAAGTCTTTAAATAAACTTTTTGTTTTCTTGAGATAAATGATGTATTTTATAAACAATTTGACTATTTTTTATTCAACAGTGTCAGTGCTGTAGTTGGGTAAATGTTTGGTTTGTTATAGTAAAAAAATTTAAAATATTTGAAAAATTTCAAACTAATTTTTTAAAATTCTTTTTTTTTTTATTTAATTATTTTTTTTCTGAACAAAGCAAAAATTTCTGAACTGTTCTGGGAAATTGTTTCGACAGAAGTGCAGGGCTGATTGTACTAATCATGTTTGAAAGCGCAAGATAATGAGAACAAAATCTGTTTATTAAGCTGCTTTTAGTTAATTTTATATGGTTCGTAGAATTTTGAATATTGAATTAGATTATTTTTTCTTTACGACTCTGTTTTACAAATTTTATAATCTCGTAAGCAAGCAAAGCAGTCTAAGAGTAAATAATTGTGTTCAAGCAATAAAAAAAGAGGGGCTCATGGAGTTCACCCCCTTTTTATTTCAACAAAGACACTTTTAAAGTAAGGAATGTAAGTTATTATAAATGTGAACTTCTCTTTCTGTTAAATTCTAACAAAACGAATCTGTATTGTTTATTTTATATAAATATATATTTCTTCTAGCTATCAAGGCAATGTGTTGTAGCAAATAAGTAGTGAATATTATTCAGATGCTAATAAAGAATTGTGTATAATAAAAATTAATATAGTTTATTATAATATACAATTATTTGATTATAGTGAATACACTGATGATAAAATTAAGCAAATTGACGGCAATTCATTTAATTAAAAAAAAAAATAAGCGTTTTTAGAAAAAAATTTAAGCTGACAATTAATTTAAACTAGTTATTTTTCGTCCTCATGAAAATCAGTCAACTATGACCTACCCTAATAAAGACCTATATATCTTTATTTACCCTATAAAGAGATGAGTTCTCTGAAATATTTTTTCCCATTGAACAATATGAATGGATTCTCTAAATGAATTTGAATGCAGTACTTTTAACACATTTTAGATTTTAATTTAATAAAAGCAAAAGGTATGGAAGTATGTTGATATTAGTTATGTAAGCATACCATATTTAAATTTGTGTATCTTGTACAAAATTATAAAAACTACATTGAAGTTTTATTCATAAAGAAAGAAACTATGTAGTATAAAATCTCACCATATACTCTCATATAAATGTCTGCATGCTATTGGAAATATGTGATAGGCTATTCAGATAATTGTCGGCACCTAAAAGTTGGAGAGGATTTGCTACATTCTAATTTATGCTGATAGAAAGATAGTTCAGAGGATAATGGTCTAACAAGGCAACCCAGGAATGGCTGAAATTCTGCTTCTATCTTGCTCCCATAACAGTGTTGACATAAAATATCCTAGTGGTAGACAAGACATCATGGATAAGGATTAGGATACTCTTGCTATTAGGCAGGGTTGGCATTATTTAAATCACTTAAATTTTTTTTTGTTATAAAAATCATTGATTAAAATTTCTTTTTTCGTTAAAAAAAAACATTTATTCAAGTAAAATATAATTTTTATTCAGGATAATTTATAAATATATTCTTAAGGTTATAAGTCCAGATAAAGAATGACAGGATAATGTATGTAAATTATTATTTGGTGTTGAGAACAGGCTAAAATTATTGTTATTTTAATAATAATTATAATAATTTAAAAAAATAAATGTGGATTGAAGTGGTGTTAAATTATTAAATTATAACTTTTCATTAGATGTATGTCAAATGATTTGCTATTTAATAAACTTATTTCGTCTACTAATTTAGTTTTATATTTAATCAAATAAAAATACTCTTGAAACTAATTTAACATGTAAACTATGTTTATAAATAATATAGAACTATTTTGCAAAGAGTAATTTGAAGTAGTTGATTTCTTTTGTTTCCTAATCTAAATTAATTTATTCATTTGATATCTAACTGACACATCTGGTGTTTGTCTTTAACTACTTCATGAAATTATTAAGCTTGAATCAAACCAACTATAGTGGGATAAAACCAACTAACGTTTTATTTTTTCAGTGATTAGTTTGTAAAAATTATATATAGTTTTAACCTTTCAAAGTAAAATTGATAAGTTCTTAAGTTAGAATATTGCATATTAAATTTTTATTATAATACGCAATATTATTATATTTTTTAATAGAAAATTGAATGGTAAAGGTAAAAAAAAAGAAAAATCTGATTATAAAAAAGATCAGATATTTTGATTTTTTTAAAACAAATAAATCATAACTTTTTCCAACCTTGCTATCTGGCTAACCATGGGAGGTTTTTATGATTTTCCCCTCCACTTAACGTAAATGCGGATTACTTCCAGAAAAAGTCTTATGCAACGGCTAATTTGTCCCAATGCTTGAACTGGGAGTTGCCTTGTCTTCTGGGTTCGTTTCAAAATTATTGGGCTACAGAATTGAACATTGATACCCGCAAACCCAAAAATGGCCCAGTTTCTCGAAGTTTACAAAATAAAATTCTCATATCTGACACTAAAATATTTTAAACTGAAAAAAGTTCCTTTCAAATTGGAAAAATAATTAAATTTGAAAAAAAATATTACATTGAAATTATTATTATTATTATTATTTTTTTATCATAGGAGGGTTTGCAAATTATTTTAACTTACTGACAAAGTTGGCATAAATTAAGATGCCGGATTTAAATTATGATTAGAATCCTGATTTAAATCATATGGTTTTTAAATCATTTATTGAAATAGTTTTTTTTTTCAATAATAAATACAAATATTTTTATACAATTCTTATAATATATTCTTTAACTTGTGATTTTTTTTAAGGTCTTAATTTCATTGATAATGAAGTTTTTATCAAAAGAAATAATGAAAGGGAGATTTATATAAATTATTATATTTCAAAATAGACTAATACATTAAGAGAGAGAGAAGAAAAACAAAATAATAATTTTAGAAGTTTGAAATAGTAACTTTTTAGCTATTATTGTTTTTAAATAATATTCAGTATTATAATATTAATACATTTTATAATATAGCAGACCGGCCTGTGTAGGGGGCACGGAACTGTCCTTGCATCAGAAAGGTTCTATGTTCGAATCCCGGCAAGGCATGGATGTTCTTTCCTTCTCTGTACTATCTGTCCTTACTGTGGGAGAGAGGTTGGCCCACCTAATATTTCTGAAATTAGAAACCCTGAAAGAGAGGTCAAAAAAATTGCCCTGCAAATGCCTGAATTAACGGATGTTAACACAGGTGGGCATTGGGGGGGGGGGGGAAAAAAAAAAAANGGGCATTGGGGGGGGGGGAGAAAAAAAAACAAAACAAACATTTTATATGATTTGGCTGGTTTAAAAAAAAATAAATTATTTTTTTAAAGAATCAGGAATTTTGCCATTTGATAGTTTTGTAAATTGCGTACGTCATAAATTTGGAGTGCGGAGCAATGTAGTGCCTCTAATTGCGT